CAGGGGCTTTCATCACTTACCACAAGGAGACAGTGTTGGAGGGCATGGAATATGCTAATTACCTGCTTTAATCATTGTGTAATACATACATGTATTGAAGTACCACATGGCACCCCATGAATATGTACAATTATGTCAATTAAAAAATAAAGCTGAAGGAAAAGAAAATTCCTAACACTCACCTTCATGATTTTACTTAATCAATAATTTCATGATTTCACCTCCTAAATCAATCTCCACATGTGGAAGATTTATATGTAAATGCTACATATTCAGAGCATAAGATAAAGCACTTTGCATAGTTTTCTCACAATGCACCACAATTAGAGTTTACTTTGACACTATGTTCAAATTTCCAGAATCCCAGCTCACCAATTTAACATTCATTCAGCATAAAAGTTTTAAGGCCTAGAGTGCTTGGGATATGGAGTTAGGCACTAGTGATGGCAGATGAAGAGGAAGTAGGTCGTGAACTGGAGGAACTCATATCTAGTGTGGAATGCAGGCAGTCAAAAGTTAATTTCCACAACACTGGTTAGTAACAGCCATGATTAGGTACATGAAATTTGAACAAGTTGTGAGTTACGAATGATGTATGCCAAATGGAAATATAGGCCTCAGATGTAGCACCATAATAGATTGTAGAATGTGCTGGTCCCTAATTGGAACCAGCTTCAATGGCCAGCAAGTGGTGGGTGGGTTTCTTTTTGCAGCTATCAAGCCTATGGAATAAATATGGCAGTGTAAATTATAGGTATCATTCTTATTCAGTGCAGTCAACGGTAGCCAAAGCTATTTGAAGCAAAGAAGGGATGTGATTGTCAGTTTTGGAAACAATAATTCTGGTAGCAATGTGGAAGCTGAGCATCTGGTGGGAAGACCTCTTAGGAAATGCATTGAATGGTGGGATCATCAGTACTCTTGGATATGAGAAACAGACAGTACCTAGAGACAGCAGGTTTCCCTTTGTCAGCCTGGCAGGACGAGGTGGACTGTGGATGCCACCTTTCCAGAGTCTTCCTCTTCATGTCCCCTGAGGCAGCTGAAACCTGGATACCTAACTGAAGCTAATGAGCTGTGTGGGACAGGACGCTCTCGGGGCCACTAAAGCAGACATGTTGAGCATTGCAGTCCCTGAAGGATGCATCTTGCTTGGTAGCTTGTAAAATACTCCTGAGGTACAACATGAACCTGTTTTTCATGAGTAGATTCCAGAGACCTTAGGGTCAACCTCTGCTCAGCTCCAGGCTCAGTTGTCTGCCCTGGGTCCTGCTCCCTCTGGGCACCACAGCTTTGTAGAGCTGGTGGGCAATCTTCCTGCCAGAACTGGGGTGGCTCCTGTGCTGACAGTGATTTAAAAGGTGCTGATGTTGCCTTTGACAGAGCCACAGTGAGTAGCAGTCTCCGATCCCCTCACCTGCCAAGCATCCATTTTCAAGGGTTGTCCCAGGGTGGGTAGTTAAAGCCTGCTGTTGATATATGTGATTTATATGTGTCCTGAGGGTCTGCTATACCACTTCACCCCCAACCCACAGTTAGAGCCTGCTGTTCATATATGTGATTTATATGTATCCTAAGGGTTCTGCTCTACCACTTTACTCCTGACCCCTCTCTCCAGGTCAGGAGCCAAATCCACCACTTGGTAATCTCTGAATTACTGTATTTGGGGGCCAGCACTCATGTGATTCCACTGGATACTAACTTTTCTGCCAACATGCCAATCTTCTGGTTTCATCCTTCACAGACTGTCTTGCTCCTGCAGAAGGAAGCTGAGTGTCTGTGACCTCTACTGTTGTCTTGTGGAAGATGATGCTTGTTCTTGGTCCAACCTGCATTCAGTTGCACCTTAGGCCAGCGGGTTTCCCCTCATCCTGATCCCTTAGACCCAAAGGTGATAGCGCTTCCTGGAGCACCAGCATCCGCACATGAGTCTGCTGTTAGAGCAAGTCCTAGCTAGAGGAGGAATCTGCACTCCAGGTTAGGGGAACACCCCTGCACACAGGAGTGACAGGATATAAGTGCTCTCTTTCATTCAAATAAAATGTGAGGTGCTGTATCTTACAAGTGTGAGATCTGCATGGCATGCTAGATCTGCAGTGTATGGTGAGATGCATACAGGAGGAAAGCCCTGATTAGATGTTCCTGCCAAGTTACAGGAATCAGCTTTGCCTGTTACTGTGGACTGCCACCATCCACACACCAATGGAATATAAGAAAATAGCAGTGTGATAAGCAATAATTTAACTATATAAGCATAACTTTGTCAATGAGTGTGGGGTGGGATAAGACCAGTACTTTCACATTAGGCTTTCACCAGGAGCAGGCATGTATAGCAGAGAATCACTGCACTTGATGGGCAGGATCAGATCATACTATTTTTTAGGTTGAATCCCCCCAAGATACGTTGAAATTCTAAACTCTGGTACCTGTGAATGTCATCTTACTTGGAAATAAGGCCTGTGCATATATAATTAAGTTAAGATGAAGCTTTGGTCCATTTGGATGGGCCTTAAACTAGCACAACTGCTCACTTCTTAAGGAGAGTGGGAGAGACTGACAGGCAACAGGAGAACAGCATTGAGTGTGCAGGAGAGGTAGAGAGAGGTGCAAGCCCCAGAATGTGAGGGGTGCCAGAAAACCACCAGAAGCCCAGGAGAGAGGTGTCAGAGGGATCAGAGCCCTGCGATGCCAATTCTGCACCTCTGGAACCGTGAGATAACAGATTCCTGTTGTCTTAAGTCATTTGCGTCCTCTGCTATGACAGCCCTGTGCAACTGGTACAACCACATAGAAAGTTGTGTTAAAAGCCTATGCTGTCTAACTCCAATGTGTGGCTATGATGAGTCTTTCCAGAATGTGTCCTTTTTTTTTTTTTTGGTTCAGGTTACCTTCTGTGCATTGCCAAGAAAAGTGAAGTCATGTGAAGGCACAGCTAGAACAAGTCATTAGGCTTCCAGTGGCTACAGAGAAACCAAAGACTCTTCTAAAATGCTGTGAGAGACATCCCTGGGCACCATGGCAGGCTGGAGAAGCCCCTCTTGTGATGAGCAGCATAGCACAGAGAGCAGCAAGGTGAGTGATAACACTGCAAACCAAGTTCTGGATCAATTCTGTCCTTATCAGTCTTGAAATGAGGCCTGCCCACCCATCTGAGAGACACAGATTGTGAGCCAGTTTGTCTTGAAGAATGTGCCAAGGCCAAGGCATATTTACTGCAGATATGACATCAGATCTATGGCAACACAGACCTATCCAGGTTTTAGTACACAACTAAAGGATAACAGCATTGGTTCTTTCCTTAGGAAGGAAAAAGGGCTCTACTATTTTTATCAGGAAGTAAGTAGGTGCATACTTTAAAGCCTCAAAGCTATTAATGACAGATTTATACCTGTAATACAAGTATTATGAGTAAAACATCCCAAATTAATTGTGCATTTTGGCATGACGGTAACTGTCATCAAAGCAGTCACTGAAAACATTTAGGAGTATAAAGGGTTATATACTCACGACTGGTCATGGGTATTGCTAATAGAAAAGTGATGTTTATAGGAGATTAACAGTCCTGCAAGATTCTACACAATAGAGCATTAAAGGAAAAAGTTTGAATATGTGTGACAGCTTATTACCATGTGTCTTGGAGGCCTGGAGGAAACTGAAAATAGTTGCATCCTCCCAACAGACCTGGTTTTTCAGGTGTTTAAAACTTCCCTTTTATGGGAAATAAGCTATTAATGACTATTGTTTGAAATTTTCTTTTGTTTTTCCCTTGTACACTTAAAAATGTCTATAACCATGAATTTATTATCAATTGACTATCACAGCTTTAAAGCATCATTTTTAAAAATTTGTATCTTTATGCCAGACTCCTTTTTAGATTGTGGTGATATTATCCTATTACTCTTAGGCTGGGGCTATAGCTCAGTGGTAGAGCACATGTTTGGCAGGAAGCAGGTCATGGATTCTTTCCAGCCCCACCAAAGTAGAAAAAAATGATAAGACATTATTCTTGTTCAGGCATTATTTCCTATCAAATTTGCATCATGAGAGTGGTGTGTGAATGTTGGGGGGTGGGGAGAGTGTGAGTGCAATGGGGCAATTTTTAGGCCCAATGAAAAGATAATTGTTTTTGTGAGATTGGTATTTTAGAAGTGCAGAATGAGAAATTGAAAGAATAAATTTATTGGTTACACTGAAGAAATTTAAGAGTCTTGAAGTGAGAGAAAAGAACAGATTACATGTTGGGTTGGTAGTTGTCCAGGGTTCTGCTGAAAATAGTACCAACGACGGTTACTCAGGATTGGTCATCCTGAAATGTGAAGTCTGTGTGCAACAAATTCTGAAACCATGTCTAGTAGAAGCTTTACAGTCAATAAAATGGTTCTAGGTGCTAATAACTCAAGATTCCCTTGGTTTTCTCAATAAAGCACATTGTCCCCCTTTAAATAAAATTGCCAAGTGGATTCCTTTTCTATGTATTTTTGGAGAATAAATTTATTCTCTGCCCAAAACAGAATAAGAGCACCAGTTTCAATTTCACCAATTTCAATTCCAGATACATGGATAAGAGGAATAGCAAATTTGTAATTTATTCAGGAAAATTTGATTTAATTTTTGGAGAAATTTGAGCCATCTTTGAAGTTCATTTTGTCATGGAAAGGCAGGGTCTTGAGACAGTGAAAAAATTGTGCTGCAATGAATTTAAATCCTGTCTCTGCCACTGACTAGGTGAGTCTACAGAATTCCTAACCCCTTACACACCCTCAGAGCCCTCCAACTCAACAGAGGGAATGACCATGCTACATCTTGAGAGTAGAGGCACCAGCTGTGCATGGGCCAGAGGAGGCCTGTGCACCTAGTGGTGATGGCACCCCTCTCTTGCCAACAAGAAAGGGACAGAGGAAGTGCCCAGCCTCCCAGTCAAGGCCCACCTACCCAGGCTCCAAGAAGGCCGGGGCTGAACCTTCAGGGAAGGTTGTTGGTGTTGGTGCCATGCAGGTGTGATGGAGAGAGCCAACCATAGCTCCTTCACGGGCTTCACTCTCCTGGGCTTCTCCAGCAGGCCCCAGCTGGAGGCCGTGCTCTTCCTGGTCATCCTGGTCTTCTACTTCCTGAGTCTGCTAGGCAACAGCACAATCATGCTTCTGTCTCTCATGGATCCTCGCCTCCACACCCCCATGTACTTCTTCCTCTCCAATCTCTCCTTTATGGATCTCTGCTTGACCACCTGCACTGTCCCTCAGACGCTGGTCAACTTCAGGGGCAGGGACAAGACCATCAGCTACGGTGGCTGCGTGGCCCAGCTGTTCGTTGCCCTGGGCCTCGGGGGAGTGGAGTGCGTGCTCCTGTCCGTCATGGCCTATGACCGCTATGCAGCTGTCTGCCGCCCACTGCACTACATGGCTGTCATGCACCCCCAGTTGTGCTTGCGGCTCGTGGTGACTGCCTGGCTGACGGGGTTCGGCAACTCCGTGGTGCAGACGGCGATGACCATGACACTGCCCCTCTGTGGTAAGAACCAGCTGGACCATTTCTTCTGCGAAGTTCCAGTGATGCTGAAACTGGCCTGTACTGACACCTCCATCAACGAGGCCGAGCTTTTTGCCGTCAGTGTCTTCTTCTTGGTGGTGCCCCTGTCTCTCATCCTGGTGTCCTACGGCCACATTGCTCACACAGTCCTGAGGATGAAGTCGGCTCAGGGTAGGCAGAAGGCCTTTGGGACCTGTGGCTCACACCTTCTGGTGGTGATCATTTTCTTTGGTACTCTCATTTCCATGTACCTCCAGCCACCCTCTAGTTACTCACAGGATGTGAACAAAAGCATAGCTCTCTTCTATACTCTGGTGACTCCTGTGCTGAACCCCCTCATCTACACTCTGAGGAACAAGGAAGTCAAGGGTGCACTGAGGAGACTGGTGAGGAGAACCGCTGACTCGAGAGAGAGTTAGCACAGGGGTGCCTGGCCCATGCCTATGTGCACTGGCAGACTTCTGGGTGCAGAAGTTTTAGTTTCACCAGTCTCTGTAAAGCACCTACTGTGTACCAAGCACTCTCTAGGTCCTTGAGATTATAGAGAGAGAGATAGCTGAGATCAAAGTAGAGAGACTTCTGTCCTTGTAGAGCTAAACTTTATTATGGGGAGAAAATAAGTAGGATGAGCTAAAATTAAATTGTGGCATATTATGTATTGGGATGTTCTATGGAAATAAACAAGTTATATGTATGCACTGATGAACCCAGCCCAATTCCATCTTAAGATTGGGAGACATCTTGTCACAAGGTCATAAAAAGTTCATTTCTGTTTTACTGCAAAATGCTAAGATTTCTATTTGGCCTTCCAATATTTTGATGTTTTAAAAAATTTGCTTGGCATTCCTGCCTGTGCTTTGAACTTACCGGCTCTCCTTGACCAGATAACAACCCTCCCTGATATCTCAGCTGCTCCTCATTAATTTTGATGTTGAAATCTGAGTCTGCTCCCTACCTTGAGATGTTAAACAATGTAGGTCATAAATCTGCTATCTGCCCTTGTATCACACTTGCCTGAACCCTGTCAGCTGTAATTTTCCAAGACACCTCCCTTTTTGTAACTTTCTGTGTTACAAAAACTTCCCTGTAATTAGACCAGCTGCTGTCCTCTGGCCCTGTTTTTCTGGGTAGGGGCAGATGCTGGCCAGCTCTCTCTTGTGTACACAATATAAGCTTGCTTTAATTTGGTTTAAATTGGACTCAGTGGTCTTTCCTTTGCTTCATGGTTCAACATGAACAACATAGGTGATTCACACAAATGCAATTTTGAGATGAGAAGCCAGATATAAAACAATTCATATTGTATAATTCTTTTTTATATAAAATTCCAAAATCAGGCAAAACTGATCTCTGGTTTTGGAGGTCAGAATAGTGATCTCCTTGGGGAGCAGTGACTTGAAGGAGAGATGAGAGAGGGGATTCTGGGGATTTGGTCATGCTCTGGTTGTTGATGTGGGGATCTGTTCATGCTCTGATCATTGATCTGGCGGTCTGGTCATACTCTGGTTGTTGATCTGGGTGCTGGTTCTCTAAGGTATGTAATTAGTGAAAAGACACTGAACTGCACATTTAAATCATATACAATTTCTTTATGTACACTGAACTTTGATCTCATTTACATTAATTTTTTTAGTAACCCAGGTGATAATAGAATACCACAATATGAAAGAATCATGCTGAATATTTTCCTTTTTTCATACAATTTGTGTTTATTTTCTAAGTGATCTAAGTTACTACTTTACATGTAGCTGAACTACTGGGTGCTAAGATGTCTCTTTCTTTTGTTTTGTATTTTTTTTTTTGCTAAGATGTCTCTTGATATTAATGGTATTTAGCCAGACTAGAGTGAACCTTATCTAGCTTTCTCCTTTAGAGATTTCTATCAGAGGCCATTTTTGCAGTGAGTCTCTGCTCTGTTCTTCATTCCCCATAAACACTCAGTAGTCAGTTTGTGAGGCAAAAATTAGAGTGATAATTTTCAAAAGAAAATTTTACTACTCAGTATCTTCATTGAAAGGATGTTTAATGTGTTTGTTTGTGTAAATGAAGGTTTACACCTTTAATTTTCAATGAAAATCCACTATTTAGTAAAAAGAAAATATTTTCAAAAGTGAAAATTTTGAGGTATTTAAACATGATGTTATATAGATATAATAGAGGGGTTGGAAGGGATTATAAAATAAACAACATGCACAATCATTTTCTGGTAAATTTAAAATATTAAACATTAAAATATTTTCTTCTTGGGGCTGGGGATATGGCTCAAGCGGTAGCGCGCTTGCCTGGCATGCGCAGGGCGCTGGGTTCCATCCTCAGCACCATATAAAAAATAAAGATGTTGTGTCCATTGAAAACTAAAAATAAATATTAAAAAATTCTCTCTCTCTCTCTCTTTAAAAAAAATTTCCTTCTTGAGCACTTTTAAATTTTGACAATGGCAAGTTGGAAGACTTGTAATGTTATTGTGTTAATCAAATGACAGAGTAACAAAATCTTTATATAAACCAAAATAGATTGGTGAATTGCTGAGTTCTCTGAGGGAATCATCTCCTGTGTTGAACGTGCAAGTGACTTGCATTCATTGTTGGAACGCAGTTCTGAGGATGTGACAGTTTAGTGACAGTTTCTTCTACTTTGCATCCATGGCAGCTCACTTCACTAGCATGACCACATCAGTTTCATGACTGAGGTCTCCTGCAGTGGTTCCCCTTTGCCCATGGGGGCACCTTCCAGGACTCCAGCAATGCCTGAACCCACAGACAGCACAACTCTCTGTGCAGGGCTGAAGAAATGAGGCTGTATGTGAAGCTAAAAATACAATGTCTTCATTGTCATGTTTATAGCCACAAGCTCAGCATAATAGGGGCTTGTTTATAACTAGCAGGACTTCGCTCCAGGGATGAAGTATTGGTGGCACCATTCCAGAAGTGAGGTGGCGGTCACCTGCATTTGCTGACTGTTGCCGAACAGGAAGCAAGGTGGCTGTCACCTGTGTTTGTTGACTGTGTTGCAGAACAGGATTGGGAGCTCTGTGTTTAAGGCTTCATGGACTCTCTGTTCTGTGCACTCTACCTGGACTTTCCATATGCTGTGTGGTATTGCCAGATTACCAATCTGTGCCACCTGTTGTGAGCCCTGGCACCTCCCTCACATTTTTGTGAATGTAGGTGCTGCTGGGCATCTTCTTCCATAAGGTAGAGTTTCAGCGTTGAAAACTGTCTTTGGATGATATCTTTTAAGGCTCAGACCTGGAATGTTCCCCCAAAGGCCCATGTGCTGAAGGCTCGGTCCCCAGTGCAGCAGTGTTCAGAGGTGGGCTTCTGGGAAGTGATTAGATTGTGAGGCTCTAACCTCATCAGCAGATTAATCCATTTAAGGATTCATAATTTGAATGGGCTATTGGGAGGTGATGGTAGGAGGTGGGGCATAGTAGAGAAGGGATTGGCTCCTTGGGAGTATGCTCTAGATGAGGAGCTCTCCTCCACCAAGCCCTTCTGCCATGGTGTTTCTGCCTTATAGTCAGCTTACCATGACTGAAACCTCTGAAATTGCGAACCAAAATAAAATTTTCCTCCTTTACATTGTTAATGTCAGATATCTTTATCAGAGCTTTGAAAACCTGACTGACACCACATCCTTTCTCCTTAATCAGCTCCCTCATTAGAAGATGAAGCTTTGCTGGTGATTTTTATATTTTATTAAAATTAAAATTTTATAAATTTTTTAATATTTTATATTTAGGTCCAAACCTATTCTTATATTTGTATAACTTCCCCTTATTTTCAGCAAATGATTCGGTACCACGCATCTCAGGGATCCCTCACCAGGTCTTCGTAGTGGTGCTTTCTGGCACATCATATTGCTGTAAATGTAAGTTGGATCATTTTTTCTTTTCATGTCTTCTGCCCTCAAATTCAGTGCTTTTCCCATCTTAGCACTTAAGCACTGTGGCTGTAGCTCTTGCAGGTTGAAGTGTTATAGCACAAGATTAATTTTCTATTTTTATATATTTTTTAGAAAATTCATTCTTGCTGTAGATCTTAGCAACTTTAGCATATGATTTTTTTTTTTTAACGAGGCTTAGAACTTTCAACTTTTCACTTAAAAAAAGCACTTGTTGGCTTTACTTTGGCATTTCCAAATTACCTGCCTAAGTACTCCTGCACTTTAGGAGCCATTATTAAACAAAATGAAAGCAGGTGAAGATGAGGCAGGAGGAGAGATTCAAGGGCAGTGTGGCCTGGGAAGGAGGGCCTGGGTTCATACAGGAGCTCCAACCATATACCATGTCCTGAGAGCAGATAAAGGTGAAGTGGGAGGAGAGACTCAAGGGAAGTGTAGGCTAGGAAGTGGGGCCAAGTCCATGCCAGGGCTCCAATCACATCTCATGTCCTGAGAGCAGATAAAGGTGAAGTGGGAGGGGAGACTTAAGGGCAGTGTGGCCTGGGAAGGAGAGGCCTGGGTCCATGCTGGGGCTTCAGCCAAATGCCATGTTCTGAGAGCAGATAAAGTTGAAGTGGGGGCGTCCTTGTCCTTAGCCTCAGCCTCACTGGACTCCAGGTCCTCCAGCTGGCCCAGGAGAAGACAGGCTTTGTGCTCCCAGTCTAGTTAGCATGTTGAGCTGCACATAAGCCACCAGCAACTTGAGGCAAGGAAAATCCAGAGGCTGACAGAAATTCTCCAAGTTCTGGCCTATATGGGCACCCAGGGTGCAGGACGTCAGCAGTCAGCAGAGGCCTGGCCTCTCCTTCCACATGGTCTCCCACAGCACACAAATGGGGCTGGGTTCCTGTGCCTCCACTGCTTCTCCAGAGGCCAGTCCACCCTATCCCAAGCCCCTTTGGCTTTCCAGGCAGTGGCAGACAGGTCACCAGGCAGGAACTGCAAAGAACCTTCATTGGAGGGAGCCCTAATTCAATGGTGTGACCAGCAGGCTTCAGGGAAGACACACTTCCTCCCTGTCACTTGGACCCCCCCTGCACTGGAGTGCAACCTCCAGGAGGGACTTTTCCTTGGCCCAGAATGCACAGGGCCTAGTAAGGCCTCATCCTGTGGCTTGTGCTACTACTACATGGCCTCATTCCCTACTGAAAGCATTTTCCTGAAGAGCATGGTCTGCCCCCTACACTCACAGAGTCCCTTGGGAACCATCTCAGTAGCCATTACTGAGCGAGGCCCAGTATGAGTGGCTACTCCCCACAGCTCTGTGGTTCCAGGGGAGGACAGGGTGGGCTAGCTGGGCTGGGCTGGGCTGTGGTGGAGAGGGATTGTCCCAGGGCCTTATTCTGAATCCCCAGCTTCTCTTCTGCTCCACATCTGCCTGCGACCCCACCTATAGCTCTCTGCCTTCTTCCTCCTGCAGGCGAAGCCCCAGACCTCAGTCTCCTTGCAGGAGTCAGAGGTGGGGGAGGCAGTGTTA